AAGGAAGGAAGGAAGGAAGGAAGGAAGGAAGGAAGGAAGGAAGCAAGCAAGCAAGCAAGCAAGCAAGCAAGCAAGCAAGCAAGCAAGCAAGCAAGCAAGCACAGTGACTTAACAGAAGGCCATAGCACAGCTTGCTATGTTCTTTTTCAGATTTGCACATCAAACTGAGAGATATGCATCCACTTATTTGCCACTACCAAGGTCCTGTGGCTAGAAAAGACAAGCATGCTCAACTTGGCGGTCTAGAACAACAGTCTCCAAAGGGGGGTGCACGCACTTACGGCCTTCATTGTAGAGGTAGGCTATTCCAAGTTTAACAGCAGCTTCAAAGTTTCCCTTTTCTGCAGCCCTGCATGAACACAGAGGAAAAACCAGAAGCACACTAGTAATTGGAGAAATGTAGTGCTCAGCAAAATACAGGCAGCCTAGAACAAATCTAGGAAACTGTGCTGCCAGAAAGCCACATTTCATTCTCCCCTTAACGATCTTTTCTAGAACACACTTGGTATGTCAACCAACATGACACGCTGAAGAGATCATTGCTGCTCTGGGAGAGGGTGAAAATTGGAAAAACCAAAGAGCTTCTACACTAAATTGGAAAGACCAAAGACTTTCTGCACTAAAACTCCTTATTCCGTCCAATGTCCAACACCTAGGCTTAAATACTTACTTATATTAAAGGTGGATAGCCTTTTGGTGGTGGGAGTTAAACTCAACATTCATGGCCCCAGAGGGGGGAGTCACGAGGGATCTGGGCAGGACCTTATCACAAAGATGGGCGGGCCAATTGTTCCTTTTTTCCCACCTTTCCCCCTCTTTGGGGGGAATAAACCTTATCCTTACCCCAGTTTGCTTGCATTTCTGTCCTTGAAGTAGTAGGAAAACAGGCTACTGATTTTTGCAACTGCGGCCCGCAAGAGCTCCAGAGTTAGTTTTTCCACCAAAATGTCAGGTGGACTTGACAATCCTACCCTAGCTGGCAATGAATGCACAACTCAAGATAGCTGGGGCAGATGGGCGGCATATAAACATAATTAATTAATTAATTAATTAAAAATAAAAAATATAAATATAAATAAATATAAATATAAATATAAATATAAATATATGAATGAATGAATGAATGAATGAATGAATGAATGAATGAATGAATGAATGAATGGCGGGTGATTTCTCAAGATCTCATAAGTTACCTTTCAAACGTTTTCAAGTTCCTTGGAGAAGGCCACGCTTCTTGAAAGCTCGCGCAGGCCCAAACGCAAGCGTGGTTATCTATGAGATACTTCAGGTGAGAGTGCACCTGGAAGAGACCGAAGCAGACAGTACAGCCAAGGAATCTTAAAGAAGGGCAACTGATGTTCAGCCAGGGGGTGAATACTGGAAAACGACTGAACAAGACTGGAAGGACAGGTGTATGTACTGTTTGCCACACAGAGGGTTGGTGGGTGTCCCTGCAAGGATAGGACACTTATTGAACCTCTTATCCCCGCCAACTCCATCCTCCAAAAGCCCAAATGTTTGGCCCCACCTACTCCAAAGGATTCTGAGGGGTTGCCCCCCAGATTTAAGGAACAGCTGTAGGGAAGTGCCTGGGAGCAGGAACACCTTTGTGGAGGGCCACGTCCCATGCAAAACACTGGGGAGGCTACGCAAGCAATGGGCAGGGCTAGATCCAAATATCGTCAGCCCTCCAAGGTACACCAAGCTTGGAAACCAAAGAAAGGCAAGCTAATATTACTTTTATTATAAGGTTATAGTAACAGAAACTTGCAAGTCTGAATCTGGTTCCCTCCTGCCTCCCTTTATCTTCATGAGAACTAAGGAGGATCTTTCTCAGATTGCATTTCTGCCCTGGACTCCAATACGTGGATAGGGGACCATCAGGAAATCAGAGCTAACCCTAACCCTGGATTGGGATTTAAAAACCAAACCAAACCAAAAATTCTAGAAGACGACAAGAGAAAACCACTTCCACTTCACTGCTAAGGAAATTAGACGGACGTGTCCCAGATGTTGGCAGGAGCTGAGCCTAAAAGATTTAAACTACTGAAGGAAATCACAACGTTTTTTTAAAAAGAATACATATGAGGCAGTGAAGCAGTGCCAAACATGACTTTCCAACTTCTGAACTCAGCCGTTTCCCCAAAGGGCTGGGAACACCATCGGCGCACATAAAAATGAAAAGTTCTTGACTCACCGCTCGGAGGGAAAGGATATCTTCCATAGGAAGCCCCTTGAGAACGTGGAAGAGGACGTCTTCTGGGAGGCACAGCAGAGTCAGGACTCGGGGCTTCTTCTTCATCCTTCTCTTGGAAGGGACCGAGCAGCACCGGGAACATCGGCAGTGGGTGACTGCAAGAAAGCCGGTGTCAGAAAACGAGAGGAACCGACGTGGAAGGACTAGAGCGCGCGCCCCCCTTGCAATTCTAATGACCCCTTTTTTGCAAACAAAATTCATCAGCCAGGAATTGGTCGGACTTAGTAGCTCCAGCAACAGGCTGCTTAAGTCCAGTTGGAAATGCTTACGTTTCAGGCTGGGATCCCCAATTTTGGGAAGGCAGTGGCAGGGTCAGACAGCCCCACCCAAACAATTTAGGGTTGAGCAGATAGCTTCCATTATAGAATATATTCTATAATGTATTTCTTCACAAATCTTCACTGGCATTCATTCTCTGGTGAACATCTCGTACCCTTATCCTCCTGCGCTTGGATTACTGTAATAATACCCTGCACGCAGGGCTGCCTTTGAAGATCACTGAGAAACTACAACAGTGTTTCTGAACCTCGGCCGCTTGAAGATGGGCGGACTTCAACTCCCAGAATTCCCCAGCCAGCAGTTTCTCCCCAGGCTGAGAAACACTGGTGCAGAGGTTAAGGCACCAGGCTAAAAACCGGAACCTGAGTTCTAGTCCTGCCTTAGGTATGAAGCCAGTTGGGTGACCTCAGGCCAGTCACCCTCTCTCAGCCCTAGGAAGCAGGCAATGGCAAACCCCTTCCAAAACCCCTTGCCAAGAAAACTGCAGGGACTGGTCCAAGCAGTCACCAGGAGTCAACACTGACTTGAAGGGACACCCCCCCCACAAAAATAACATTAATTTCTTTTGAATGTTCTAACAAGATTGGGGGGGGAGAAAAATTGCAAAAGACAAACAATGGAAAAGCAGAGAACAGCTAATGAACAATAGCAACAAAATCTAAACAGAAGGGGGGGGGAAACAAGGAAATCAATTATTAAGTGTCTAAATCAGTGTTTTTCAACCTCGGCCACTTGAAGATGGGTGGACTTCAACTCCCAGAATTC